ATAAAGATAAATGAGGAGGATTAGTCGTAGAGTTGTGAAGAATGATTTCGCAGATACGATTTAGAAACGACTTGCTGACTCAGTGAAACATTAAACGTTTTATTTGAAGTGTTCGGAATGTTGAAATCTACGGCGACGATAACATCAAGGCTATGTGGTCTTCTAAAAATACACAACACTGGTTTAAGCATTCAACCCTTTTTAGATATAAATAATTCAGTTTATCATACTTAGGAAAAATAGTTAGTAAAGATCCTCAAAGCGTTGCACAAAGAAATTGTTAAACATAGTGTCAAGCATTCCTTTGAATTTATTGGTAGTAGAAAATCTGTTGGTCAAAAATAACTTTGATATCATCAGATGTATCGCCTTTACTTACTAACATTACCATACTGGAAACTGTATTTTATTTGCAGTGTACTGATAGAGAGGCATAAAGAAACTTTAATTCTTATACCTGCAATAAAACAGTTTCGAGATACATAGAAAATCTGCAATTGGACAATCTACTCATGTATATAGTACTGTACCGATCAAATATTAAAGAAATTTAGTGGGAATCTCTTATATCCTATTGAACATTAGTGGATTAATATTATACATATATTTCCCTATTGTATAACTGTTCAGTAACTACGTTATGTATATGCATATTCCTCTCATTATAAGCTTCATTTTGATCTATAGATTATTATTGTTATATTATTTACTGTTCTTAAGTTATGTTCAGATTATTGATTAGTCTTCCACGTTCACAACCACTTTTTGGTTTGACCTTGTATAAATGTTATTTCCTACTTTATGGTGTGATGAGGTCTATTTGGCTGGTATATAGACCAAGTATGTTTGAAATAAATGATTTCTATAGGGGGACCTGTTATTGTTGTGGGCGGGCTACGCGAACAAAAGACCGATAAGGACACTCATACCGGTCGAAAGTCATTGGTTTAGCACAGTACTAAGATTGAATAAGCCGTAATTCGATTGGCGAATAAACCACGTGATAGCTAGCCGGGCTTAGAGTCACAACAGAATCCTAAACCGTCCGAAAATGATTTATTTTGATGCTTTTGAAAATGAATTGGATAATGTCTGCAACCCGCTTAGTAAGAATGGTTATCCAGAGAAGTTTATCAACAAACACATGTAGGATACAAAAACAAGACCGATGTTGATAACCGTTCTGCATACAGTACTGTTCTTGGAACCACCTATCTTAAATGGAACTAGAGTGAATAATAACTCAAAGGTTAGGAAATGCAGCGCAGGAAATATTTACTAATGCTAAACTGAGTCCGGTTTTCTACGATCGTTTGGTGAAAGCCACCAATAAAAACATGTAGTCTGAATCCGCCACATCCAAGTGTATCTATCAATTCGATTGCTCCTGTGGAGCCAGTTAAGGCGTACAGTTCGGAAAGTCCATCATCGCATAGCGGAATGGTGTTCGTCTTGGTTGCGTAGAGGGCAGTCAAGAGTTTTAGTGCTCTATTCTTATCCAATTAATGGACAAAAAAATGTCAAGTTGACCTGAATGAAGTTTTTAGGTTATCCGCCATTTTCTATTAAAGTTACAACACGGTTCACGAGCTCATCTTTCGTATATTACTAAAGCCATCGGGATCCACTTTCACAAATCTAATCTTTACATTTAAAAGAAGTTTGTACAAACGCTCGTGCTACCTAGACCATCGACATAGAAGTGTGTTTATATAAACTTTGATTATTCCCATTCACCCGGGGGCCATCATTCGTTTTATTTTTATAAGGTTGACTAAATCGATAAGATGGTAAATATCATTAACCCTTTCCAGTTAGTAATAGTAAAGTCTCCACGAAATACTATTTTGTAAGCATTCAACATTACTGTTAATTTTATTATGTGATACAAACTACAGTTCACGACTTCTTACCACTCGAAAGCTTTTAAAAATTTAAACTCAGCCATTGAGCATAATTCCGAGAACAACTGGACAATGTGATTACTCACACTTTTTACCCGATCGCAAATTATATGCAAATAGCATGAAAATCCCTACACAATATTACTATACAGATGATGTCATAGTTAATAAATTATCAGTTATTAGACAGTTGATTGGTTGCTTATCTGTAACTGGACTGGAAGTCCAAAACATTACACAATATATCTTGCCTCCAATGTCGACATTTCAGTCTTCCTATCGAGAAAATACTGAATCTTAAACCCCGTTATTTTTTTCGGGTCCCACCCGAAAATTTGACAGCTTCTTATAATTAGCGAAACTCGGAAAACCAATTACATATTTAAGTATGATGAAACATACAAGCTGCACGACATCACTAACATTAATTCTACTTCATTAAACTAGTTTCTGCTCTACATGTTAAGTATATCAAACAATGGACATATAACAGCTCTAAACAATAAAGAATGACTACCACTGAATACTGAATTCTAGAATTTGTGAGAGCATTTGATGATTATTATCAAGTAATTACAATTGACAAAGCAAGGAGAGCATTCTTACAGTTGAAGAATATATGGAACTCAAAACAACTTTTAACCAATATCAAAGTCACAATCTTCAATACGAATGTCAAGGCAGTTCTACTGTATGGAGCTGAAACTTGCAGAACTACAACAACCATCATCAAGAAGGTGCAAGTATTGATAAATAGCTGTCTACGCAAGATACTCAACATCCATTGGCCGGATACCATCAACAACAGCCTTCTCTGGTAGAGAACAAACAAGCTTCCACATGAAAAGGAAATTAGGAAGAGACAATGGAAATGGATAGGACATACACTACGCAAATCGTCAAACTGCATCACGAGACAAGCCCTAACTTGGGATCCTGAAGGAAGGCGGAAAAGAGGAAGGCCAAAGAACACATTACGTCGGGAAATAAAAGCAAATATGGAAAGGATGAATAACAGCTGGAAGGAGCTGGAAAGGATTGCCCAGGACAGGGTTGGATGGCGAATGCTGGTGAGCGGCCTATGTTCCTTCACGAGGAGTAACAGGCGTAAGTAAGTAAGTAATTACAATTAAAAGATATAAGAAATTAAAACCAACATACAATTCAGTTAGAAAATAATAAATAAATTTTGAAAAGTGGAATTAATGATTTATAGAGAACAGAGAATAGCAGAAATCCTCTCAACTTGGTGATACAACCGCCTATTCACGTTGTTGTTAGTACTTTAATTTTAGATAAACTCTGGTGTGTTTGTCACCCGAGTCGAATTCAACTTTTAAATAATTATACTCAAGGAAATACGTAATTAATGTGTGAAAAATAATCGTTTTATGTAGAGATAAAATAAAAAAAATATTCGACTAGAAATTTGGTAATAATAAAAGTATACCATGACATAAAAGTCTCAGGAATTGTTAAATTAATTCTCAGAGCCTAAATATCATTTCTATTCAATATCTACCATTAGAATGAATCTAAGTGATGAACCTTTAATTTCGAAGTGATTCAATCCCACATTATATGAGTTGTGGATGAACTTTGAAGTTTGTTTTTTTTTAAAAAAATCTTTGCATAATTGTTCTTTTGGCAGTTCTACGGGAGTTCTAGCATACTTAGCTTTGATGAGTTTAAATTTAAATTATTAATCACTCTATTTAGTTTAATTTAACCGGATAACTGTTCACCAGACTAGTTGTATAGAAAAACCAAAAAGCTAAGGCATCCTTACAAGTATGAATAGTTCGAACCCATAATGAAGCTTAAAGGATCAATCAGGAAGTGACAAGATTATATCAGTTAGTAAATATAGACATAAATAAATAAACCGTTAATCATACTTATCAATCAAAATGAAGTTCAACCGGTATAAGCAGCCTAGCGTCCTTATTGATGTTTTGTTCGCTAAGCCCGTCCAGTTGACTCCAGAACACCATTAACAGCTCCTACTATGCGAATCATCTATTACAAACATACTTGGTTTATTTACCAGCTGAACAGATCTCATCGCACCATAAATTAGGAAGTAACATTCATACACAAATAAGCCAAAAAGTAGCTGTGAATGTGGGAGACAGTAATTAATAAACTGAGTATAACATAGGGACAGTAAATCGTACAATAATAATCTATAGGTGAAAACGAAGCTTATAATAAGAGGAATATAGATATACATAATCTAATTACTGAATAGTTATAGAATAAAAATATATAGATAATATTAGTCCATTATTAGGTCTCAGAAGTTACTCGTAATTTAATCCCCACTAGGATATAACAAATTCGAACCAAATGACCTACGTATGATGGTCCATGATATGGGTCTGAAACTCAAGGAATAAAATGCAGTCGTGCCGCCCACCCCCCAAGTCACCTGATCCATATGAACAATAAGAAATAAAATTTACACAAAAAGTGGTTCACTTGAAGAGATCGGGCATTTGCAGGATATTACACCTCAGATTTAATAACTAATTAATTGGAACAGTGAAGCAAGATACATACAAATACACAACACATCACAATAAATATAACAAATTTAGTGATATAAACATACCCTTTAATAACATGATTAATTATCCTTTTTGTTTTTCACTTTTAATACATAATATATTATTCGGTTTTCTATTTAACCACAGAAGAAGAAGAAGAAGAAGAAAAAAACAACAACAACAAAAAGTGTAATTATCTGAAAGCAAATCAAAACAAGTATCCACCTTTTTTAAGTTTACACATGTCTCGATGTGTATTATAATTCATTTGAAAACTTTTATGAAAGTTTGTTGGAATAGGTTTTAGCATGAAGAGTGTTAAATAAAATATTGAACAACTAACTAGAACAAATAGTATTAATCTTTTGTCAATACAGAAATGTATAATAGCAAAGATAAACACAAACGCACATACAAACTGAGAAAAAACAGATGTCTGAGAAAGCATATGAACGGATTTTGAAGAAATTTCACGCAATGATAATGATAAGAATTATTACTATTATCAACGATTCAGCATAACTATAGTTGTAAGTTTGCAGATCATTTACAGAACAAAGCGACCCACAAAGAGACCAATGATTAAAGCTGTGATTAAATATAAAATCGGTGGGATGTTACTAAAAGTATCAGCTCTGGCTTGATTATGATGACGGCTTCCACTGGTAGGCATTGATCCAGCACCGGATTCGGTAGGCGTTCGACATGTATCTGAGATAGCTGCTGTACGTCGTAAATGGAGATCCGATTCCTATGAACAGTTACAAACCATGAATTGGAAAATAAATAAATAATAATAGATCATTTTTCAAAATCAAGACATTTGTTGTCACACTACTACTCTATGTTTCAGGTAACAAAAGATGAATTTAAATAAGTTATAATACCTTTTCTATGAAGCTACACCATGAGACAAAGTTATGAGTTAAAAACTAAATAATCAACTAGCTGTTAATTTATCTACACATGTTGTCTCCCGCCTTCACGAAACCATAGGACATTCACAGATCAAGAATAATTACATTCATTTGGACTAGTGTAACATTATATTAAACTTATTATCATTAACCAGATAATCAACTTAAGGATGTCAGTAAAAACAATAATCAGACTTAATTTGGTAACTTCATTTACTTATTCATTTGAAGTATATGAAGATCTATACGAAATTATGTCTACAAGATACCGAATGATAGTCTCCGGACAGAAGTCAACACAGACGATTTCATACAAGATAATTTGTAACTCTGAGTATATATACACAATAAATATGAAATATGCAAATAAATCAAGACAACAAAAAACCCTAATATAAACTAGACATGTATGTTATTCCAGTCATACCTTTGTTTATTTTCAGTTGAAAACTGCTGTGTATTAGTTTGGATATAATTTGGAAGTGACAAGCTGAAAACATAACAATAATACTGGACTCCATATAAAAGTAATTGAGATATACATCTTTGTCAAACTGTTTTTGAAGGCAAAGCGATCAACTAGTAAAATAAGCGTTGATGATTAACTGTCTTTAGTATAACATCAGAATAAAATTGTTGCAGTGGGGCAAGAGTCAATTGTCTTTTCGTGTCTTGTGACCTTTATTTTCCAGTTTGATCGTTCATTTGTTGTATGTTAAGTATTTCGACTGGATACTTCATAAATGAATAATAATTGTTTCAGTTTTCTAACATATATTTAAATACTCAGTCAGTCGTCGATTAATGGTTTCATCTTTTAAAATCTACTACAACACAAACTACTTCTACTACCTGAGTCATATTATGTTATCAAATTAGGGAAACCATAACACCGGAGAAAAATTGATCCAATCGGATATAAACGTGAATTATCTTTAGGGTTTGTTATTTATGATATGTATTGTTAGGTAGTGGGGCTTGTAACAATCCATTCAATTTAGCTCATGAAAAAGCCCTCGAATAAGTTAACACGAAAAGAGATGGTAGATGATGGTTTCACTGTTTTAAATAAATTGTACAGATGAGTGCTCAAGTACCGAGTCAAGAGTTTTAAATTAATTATTAGGCAAATTATTCATATTAGAATTTTTCTGATATTTGATAATTGTGTGAAGGCCATACCTCTTCAGAGACTTAATGGCTTTACACGTTAAAGCATTTTTAACTAGTAACAACATCCAATTCATAATTTCTTACCACAATTTGTCTGAAGCATAGAGATTTACGATATATAGAGAAAAGAAATTTCTGATTGGTTGAGCACTGTGGAAAAGTTACTTTCCACTCGGACCAAACGGAAAAATCCAGTTCCGTCAGTCGGCTACAACGTAGAACCAGGTACATAAATGCATCAGTTCAAGTAGCCATAACTCATTAACACGATAGGATGGACATCTAGTTTATAGAAGTAGTTACTCTAATGGTAGCAATGTATAATAGAAAGATTGCATATAAGGATATAGTACAGAAAGAAAGATATGAAGCATTTTTAATATCATCGTTTAAGGGACGACAGAGAGTGTATACACCTAAGCCATTGTAATCGATTTTGAGCCATGTCATCAAGAGTCTCCAACCATTGGTTACGATAGTCACGCAGACTCCAACCAAGTAGTCTGCATCTACCAACATGACTAAGACTAGAAGTTGGTAACTTCAAGCACTGATGCCACGTTTTGGTTTGGCCGCTCCTAACTTTCTTCCAACCATCTCCAATACCGGATAGCATTGCACGTCGTGGTAATCGGTGTTCAGGCATACGTAACACGTGGCCCAACCATCTCAGTCGATGAAGATTCATAACCTCATCAACTGATTTACCATCATTTCCTAATACCCTGCGTTTAACCTCACTATTACTTACCCGGTGATCCTAGCAGACACCAGCAATATTTCTAAGGCATCTGTGGTCAAATACTAATAGCTTACGAGTGTCTTCTACTTTTAATGGCCATGTTTCGCTGCGGTAAATTAAAACAGAACGGACTGCCGCGCAGTATACTCGTCCTTTTATTGATAGACGGATATCTCGCCTTCGCCATAGGTGACGTAAGTTGGCAAAAGCCAAACGAGCTTTTCGAATCCGTGCTGAGATTTCGTCCGATACCAAACCATTAGGACTGATCAGACTTCCAAGATAAGTGAAGTTGTCAACGCGCTCGACTACTTCACTCCCTATCCTTAGTTCAGGTGTTAACGCAGACCAGTCCTGAAGCAACAACTTGCATTTAGAGGGAGAGAAGCGCATTCCAAACATCCTGGCATTGCTGCTTAGTGCTACCAAAAGATTCTGCATTTTGTCAGCGTCTTCTTCTGAGGTATGCTTTTCAATGACAGACACTGCCACAGAATCTCTCGGTCAAATGCTGCTTTTAAGTCAAAAAAGACCACCATTGTCGGATGCCGATAAGCATGCCTGAGTTCGAGAACCTGACGAATGGTGAATAGGTGGTCAATGCAGCCACGACCAGGTCTGAAGCCAGCCTAATTTTCACGTGTTTGCAGTTCATGAGTCTTAGTTAGGTGCCCGATAATTATTGAGGCTAGTATTTTAGATGTTATATTAGTCGAACTAATCCCTCTATGTTTGTCACAGGATGATTTTGACCCATTCTTATATATCGGGACAATAAGTGATTGTAACCAGTCAGATGAGACTACGTCCAACTCCCAGATTCTAGCTAAAACATTGACCAACCTGATCGCTAAAATTCGACCACAATACTTAAGGACCTCTTGAGCCAATCCATCTGGACCAGTTGCCCTTCCTCGTTTCAGATTAGCTATAGGTTTTTGAACTTCAACTAGAGTCGGGGGAGCTACTTTAATTATCCATTCACGCTGTCTGGGAATGGTGGGTAGTTGTCGATTACCTGAAGGCCAGCTAAACTGTTCCGCGCATCGTTCTAAACGTCTGGGCTGAGAACAGATAAGTGTCATCTTTTTCCAAGATAGTCTGACTTACACTTGACTTATTAATTCCAGTTTCTTTTATTAGTCTGAGGAGCTGTCTTGTGTTACCTATAGCCGCCGCCTTTTCCATTTCTTTTGCTTTCGTTGCCCACCACTGCTCACGGTCGTTCCTTAGACTTTTGGTTAACCTAGATCTGATTTGCTTTCGCTCTTCATCATGTTCAGAGCCTGATGGGATGAGTTCAAGAGAATCCATTAGTGCAAATCCACCAGGTTTTTCCACAAGATAAAGAACGATGAAATGCCTTAGTCATACAAAAAAGTAGAGATCTGTTCAATTTAACACAAGTGTTTTTAGATTAGATTTCATCGATCGCAATCCTTACCTTGACAAGCAATTTTATTTGATATGGGAGTGGGCTGAAAAAAGCTAGAAGTCACCAAAACAAAACATAACATCAGTCCATTGACAACTGGACTTCACAATGTTAACAGGTATGCACTATCTGGTTGGGGTCAGCGTGATTATCGTGACTAGTGCTTGAAGACTTTGAATGATATGGCTCAAAATCGTTTGCGATGGCGCAGGTGCATCCATTCGTTGTCTTTCCCCAAATTCTAAATTCTCCGTAACCTTTAGTTTTTATTTTATTAATTTATATTTTCCTTTCGAGTCGTGACTTTAATATTTAATCTTTCCTATTACCACTGGTACTGTTACTACCTTTACCATTCTGGGATTTGGTCTGACGTTTTTATTTCTCTTTGCTAATGAGGTATGACCATTTGAATCAATATACTAGGTAATACTTCGTGATGGATTGGATAAATTATGCCTTAATCCTAGCTTAATTTTAGATTAGTTGGCCATGATACCAGGACAAGAGCAAACACAAGTAGCTCCATAAGAAAACTACCTGCCTTGGTTTGGGCGCTCGGGTAGTAGTCCAGCTCTCACGCAAATCAAATGACGAAGTGTGGAGCATGTATATTTGATGTCTTCTTGTACCGACGTTTGCGTTGAAATAAATAAATAAATAGAGTAATTAGGATGAAATAACATTCCGTAACATGTAAAAGCCTGGGGAATTTTCTGTTTATTCGTCGTAAGCGAACAGCCAAATCATTAGATGTGCTTGGTGTCTCGAAATTTAAAAAAATACGCCACAAAAACTATGCCTTGACACAACTAAATAACAATGGGATACCAAGGTGTATGGTGGTAAACGGTAGCTGAATTAAACAACTGAATGTTTGTAAGGTAATTCAACTACTCTGAAGTTTATGAAAATTGTTTGCAAAGTGATACTTACTAAGCCTGCTTCCAAACATCGTATTTAGGAAAACAAAAAATTTCAGATTTATATTTACTACAGGACATAATATTACCTTCAGTGCAGCATTTTCTTGGCGAAGAGCAGATATTTCAGCCATTAACTTTTCGATATCCGTCTGGGTCGCACCAGTATCATGTACAGGTTTCTAAAAATGTGCGTTAGTAAGTTTTTCACTTACAGAAGACGCAGTTTGTTGTTTGCTAGCTTCTATCCTTTCCACCTAAATATTTAGAATAGAACAGAAACTAACTTACAATGCCTGTGTTTTTGAACACACATTTTAGGTAATAATCCGTCACCTTTCCTTCTTTAATCAAAGTCTATTGTCTTAATTTTTTTAAAATAAACCTACTGTTTGATCTTTTTTGGGATCTGCTTCTTCCGCAGAAACGGCAGATTGAATTAACATTCTCTCACGATTTTTTGCTGTAAAGTCGAAATCATCGGGATGAAACACAACTATACAATATCGTAACGAAAAAATGTATCATACCTGAGACCTCCAAATTTTCATGGGGATACATAACACCTGTACTGGGGGTGGCAAAAAAGTGATCTGGGGACGATGCGCTAATCTTGAAGCAAACGAACTGTGAAGAAGGGTTGGTCAGTTTCACAATAGATGTAACAGGTCTCACAAAAGGACCTAGCTGAGTTAATACATAAAAACAAAGAAAATAACCTTCGAAGACTAAATCCCGGCTAGGTTCAACATGAAGCTCATCAGGCAAACGCAAAAGACAAAAGAGCCGTGAATCCATGAGCTTGCTAAGAGGTGCATCCTTCCACTTAGGAAATAAATACTTAAGTTCTGGCTAATTACATACCAACTGCTCCATGGCAGGACGAGGATCATCAGGAGCAATGATAGACTGAATCATGAACTTATGATTAAATTTTTCTGCGGCATTGTAACTGAACGGCTGGAGCATTACTAAAAAATAAATATTTACCCCAGATACAAGCACAAAACAAACCTGCAACTTCTACAGTTTGATGAGGTTCTATATATCCGTTGCTTGGTTTTACACAATAACATTTCGGCACTGTTGTCTTGATCTTAAACCCAACGGCTCGGTCCAAAGGATTTGTCAATTTGATATAAGAAGTTACTACATCGACGAAAGGACCTACACAGAAGCCATATAAATGATATTAAGAATTTCGATAGGAAAAAAATACACATAATTGGAATGAGTTGTTGATGAGAAAAAGACCAAAGCGATTTCTGAGTCAAAAATTGGCTACCGAGTCAATGGGAAATACGTTTAAGGCTTCGGATACCGCTACAAAAGACACGTTTACCTTGTAGCCAGACTGGTTGGGACACTGGAGAGTTGTGAGATTCAGACACCAAAAACATGAATATAAATTTCAACACAACTCATTGGCCAGGAACAGGTTTACGTATTCAGCTTTCGACCACACTTCTGAGGAGCACTGATGACACTACCCGGTCGCCCAAACTAAAGTGACCTTTTGATCCCAAAAGCTAAAACCACAACATCACGGCTTGATTAAATTAGAATTAGAAAATACTAGAAAACTCTAAGAAGTTTTTTTAAGTGTCTGTACAGATTTGCTTTTTTGGTGAATCTGAAGCAGCGATGAAAAGTGATGCATGTATTCCTGGGATACCCGAACCGAAATCCAAGCAATAGTAGGAATTACTACTGGTAACCGCATACAATATTAAGCCAAATATGTCTATAAGGCATGAAGGGACATGATAAAAAGAATTTAGAAAGGCTATCAGAAAGCCAGGAATATAAGTACGTTGAAATTACGGGGTTTTGATCAAAAACGTGTTAGGAGTATTTGTTCCAGAGAATGGACGAGTGACTATGAACAACCTGAATAACACTTCAAAAGTTTTTAGGATGTCAATCACTCGCTACAAGTTTAAAATGTTGATTAAGAATAAGTCCATATCAGTCTGGTTAGACTGTAGGAAGCATATTAATCACAGCATCTACATGAGAAGTCTTAGCCCAGGTAAGATGGTAGTTGGAAAAACCATGGGACTGGTACTAAAAGGTCGCTTGACTTTTTCCAACTCTACTTGCTCCACAAACGAAATGTTCGCCAGCCTACATAGAGCTAATTTACTACGAAGCGGAATGTGTTGCATCACTTGGTGTTGTCCTCTGAGGTGAATAGCTCAGTAGTGCAGCTTTCACACTCGAAATCATCGGTAACCACCTTGACTACCACCAAAGTCCTCTTTCAAAGCTACGAATATTTACTAACCCTAGATCTAACTGGAGTCAGGTCTAGGGACACTAAAGTGGTGAGCCCGTTTTCCAACTATACGTGCCTTGCAAATCTGCTCAGACGGTGAACATATAGAACTCTAAGTGTCCCGTGGACAAACTAAGTGGCCAACTTAATCGACGAGAAACTCAAATGACTCAATCTCTAATGTTACCCATTCATCGAAGCCAGCTCAATTTCTAATCCGACGCACTCAGCATAGCCTGTGCAACACGACATGGACATACTCAAATCGTATTATCTTATCGATAACTTGTCCTCATATCAACTCTTCTAGTTGATCCATCCAGAGGATTGTTCCATTCTGATTCAAATAATTATCATAGTCTCATTAACACATTAATGTCAATATCACATAACGTGGATTAAGTTGATTACATATACGAGGATAGACGACATATGTATTTCAACAATATTCATACAATCCAACTGGAGTCAAATCCCACGTCACTGAAAATATTCCCAATTACTTCCATTACTTAAAATTGTGAAAAATACTATAAAGGTAGCAGGCATCGATGTGGGGCTAGTCTTTGAACACTAATATCTTCAGATGATTGATTGTGTACAGTGCAACTGTCTAGTGGATGCTGTAGGCGGAGAATACCACGTATGAACCGATCAGTGAAGCCATGGACGCTTATCATCCCAAATAGTTGTGACTCAAGAACAGCTACCACTGTGCTGTATCACGGTAAATTGGGAGAACGTGAGAGATGACCTGATTAAAATGCCACTCCATGGAATCATTAAGCGCTGATTCGGATTGTGTAGGCAATGGCAGAACTCCTGGATGGGGTCAGTAAGATGGATGTCATTTGCGGTCACATACCTTAGTTAAGATGGTTTTTAAGTAGTAGTCGTGGTCCAAACCAATTTAGTTTTGCTTATCTCCTAATTAGTCACGTTTGATACTAAGACGTATTTACAAGCAATGGAAATACTATGTATAAATTTAACATGATAGAACGGAACTAAACGATATTAAGTACAGTTATAAAGAGACCCTTTCGTCCCATCTGAGGGGAAGGAATATGATTTTATGTATTTCATGTGTTAACTTCAAGTTGGATGATGGTATTTCAAAAATATCATGAAAACTCCAACCCTACCCTCAGTTTTGTTTCTCTCACATGTTTCTGAGAGCAATTTGTAATGTCCAGAAACCAAGAATAAATAGACCCATTTTGATATCTTTACACAGAGATCGGATAACTAAGTAATACGAATTGTATGTATTAGCATACAACACCTGATCCCCTACTATATGGATATCGAGGACTACGTTAAAACTTCACAGAGAGCAAATCATCTTAAATGACAGACTATAATAAATACCTTCAAATACCAGTTCACACTTCGGCTCAATCTGCAGCACTTGTGCAGGGCAACCTGCCATTCGAAAATAGACCTCAGACACCACGAAACCGAAACTTCCAACTCGCAACTGATTAAGTCAATTCGGTGCGCAAACAATATAGAGGAGAAAAATAATTTCGATCACAAATCAGTATTATAAAGTCACAGCATCTTTTATGATTTTTGGTATGGATTATTATTTTGTCAAGGGAGGTCAATATTCCAATGGAAGAATACGAAAGAAAGAAGCTAGTGCATGGAGGATCTAAATACGTTTTAATTATAAACACGCTACGAGTGACTTTATATTGTTTTAAAATGCTTATAAAAAGCTGATGTAGCCATCAATGCATGAGTAAACTAAAGCAATATGTCTTTAGCGGTAAATAAATCCCCAAAATAAATGACTCTGTAAGTCTTCGGTATTTGATGCTGACCACATCAGTTTTAATGGACTCACCTAACTGAAAGCGCTCGGTCATGTGTCCGCATCAGATCACGAGTGGGTACGTCGTACTACACATCTCCTACGACCACCAGCCAGCTTAGATTGACCACTTCTCTATATATCGACAGCTTATCAAATGTATCTTCGGACATCTTCGCTTCCGAATTTTTATTTGACTGGGTTGGCGTATTTCGATTATAAGAGGTGTTACTGGTTAAGGTGTCTTCGAACTCCGGATAATTGAAGCATTTTTAATAGTGAGCCCAACGTGAGCTGGTACATCAATTTGAAAGCTGTGAATTTATTCCCTGTTGGGACTTTATATATCATTTTCACTTTGGTTTTTATGTACGTTGATATATTGTCTAGTATTTTTGAAATTTTTCTTCTTCACTGCTATGCTCTATATTCATCATGACCATACAGACCCTCAGGTTACATAAGATCAAGTCTCTTACGCCACTTTTATTCTAACTAATGCCATTCTTGACAGATAACATCGAAGTTTGGTTCTGCTACGCAGAAGCTGACTTGTACGAGCACAGCGTGATCGATCCACGTGCACGATTCCCCGACTTAGTAAAGGCACTACCACGCGAGTTCAAAATTTACGTCACACCTAGTACGTGTACTAGTGATATACTGAAAACTTACGAAACTCTAAAACGAGCTATTCTCAAACGCGGAGATCTAGCTGATCAATAAAAGTAAGGCCGACCCAAACTCCCCAAAGGAGTACTTCACGAAAACGATCTGTCTTTAGATCACGAGCGACAGATAAACCTGATTGGTGCCGGTAGCATAATTAGCACGGAAATTTTTGAAGTTACAGAAAACCGCCAACCGACCAGCACGTGTTAACGGCAACCGTAGCCGGCGGAATAGCCGTCTGTTATACGTAAACAATGGGATGAGGAAAGTTTGCTACCCCGTTGTTACTTGCGCAGAAGTCAGCGTTCTTCCTGAGAACTCTAACGACCCACTTCTTGAAGCAGTTTTCGACTTACAGGTGGTGATTGGGAAAGCGATCGCCACATTTGGTCGTCAAACAGCCCATGGGCATCTCCCTTGAATATGATCCCTAAAACGGACAGCAACTGCTGGCGTCCAACTGGTGACTATCGGCGATTGAACGCGAAACTATTCTCGATCCTTACCCGTTGTCTCACATTCACGACAGCTACTTTGAAAGGTACAACTGTTTTTTCGAAAATCGACTTGGTTAAGGCATATAGCCAAAGTCCCATGGCTGCTAATGACATTCATTAAAATCGCTTTCATCACACCTTTCGGTCTCTACGAGTTTTTCCGCATGCCCTTCGGTTTAAGAAATGCTGTACAAACATTCCAGAGTTTATTCGTTGACGCTTTTCGAAGTTCCACCTTCGTACATGAGTATGTTGATAACTGTTTGATCGCGTGTCCGGACAGAGAATCTCATCTCCAGCATCTAAAACTCGTCTTCGAATGACTACAAGAGCACGGCATCCCTGGGAAAATTCAGAAATACCAAACCGGTTTCTAGTCAATCAGCTTATCAGATTTATCATGTTATTGTACCAGATATGGCTTTTTCCTAATGACCCACTTATTTCTGATGAGATTCCTTGAAAATCTGAGGAAAATATGTGGAATAAACCTAGTCATGACCGGAAACCTGATGTGCTGTTGATAGATGCTGATTTTTCTGATGATCCTTTACTCTGCAATGACACTCTTAATAAATTTGAGGAAACTGTTTCAGAAGAGTCAAATATTGATGTCATATAAAATATTATTTGTCCTCATAATGCATTTGTTCCTTGTGGGAAACTTGTTCAATGAAAAGCACAAGTACCAAATGAGCTCGATTTTGATTACGATTCGGATGATTTCATATCAACTGCTGTTTATCCTTATCACAAAAACACTTCTAATGTTTACTCTAACCAATGTGAGAAATATGTTTTAAATGAAGCCACATTATTCATAACTTGGGGATATAAAGATCCAACATTATTTCATGGGGGAGTGTAATCTAAAAGTCTATGGTTCAAATTCTAGGTAGCAGAGGTTTCAGTACACAACCGACATGCTGATTACACAATCCCAGGAATCAGGTGGGTCTGTTAATTCTGATGCTAATGAGCACATTTTAGATAACACGGAGACTTTATCCACTACAATGTCGGACAGAAACAAGATGAACTTTAGAAGAAGACGTACAATCAATTACAGACACCTAGACTCCAATTTAATCTGTGGTGTTTGAATGAACAATGTTCAGTTCTTTATCATTAGATCGACTAAAAGTCTGTCCTCACCCACTTATTTTTCAATTTGTTGAAAACACAATTAAATAACAAGTTTCAACAAGCAGGAAACTGATATGTCTGGTGAAAGTGGACTGTAACTGGTTAATGACTGAAAAAAGACAAATATATGTGAACTGAAATGTCTGTAAATGTGTGATGTTTAGATGAACTAATGATTCCTTTGAATGTTTGATTTCGAATTCTGAATACAGTTTTTGAAACAGCGGCTAACCAATATGTTGAGGCAAACGTCCTCAATATCTGACTCCAATAAATAATATCCCGTAAACTGAGTATTTAAGGCAGGCTTAATCTCCTAGTAGAATTACGGATTTACTCGAGATTATTGAGAAGCCTGAACACCAGTTGTAGAGATAATTTGTTGTTAATGATTAATAAAAATCCACAAGCGTACAGTCAGCAAGTACACGATGAAACAAAGTGAGTGTGTGTTAAAAATCCATATATATTTTTGAGGGTTAATGGACTGTGGATAAATTATCGATTATCTGCACATTGCAACCAATAGGAGGATAGCTTAAGGGTTAATGTACAGACATGCATTCGATCATACACACCGAAATTAACATGATGAAATAAGTGTCTGAGTTAAAATGAATATACAAATGATACAGTGGCCAAATGGGCCTGCCACATAAGCTCCCATCCAGAACATTGGTGTTTTTGTGTACCAAAAAGAATTGGATTAACATCTATGTTCGACAAAGAGATAAAGAATAGAACTGTTTTTAAAATAAAAGTACAACTCAATCTGATGAGTAGGCGTTAAATTGTAATAACAGCTTGTGTGTTGAAACGTTTCATACCATGTATAAACAAGTGTATATTTAGCATTAATGAATTGTATAAAGTTAAAATGTAAGCATAATGATGATCCGTGGGGCCAATAAAAAATAGTAATCAACATAAAGTAGGATTTTTATGTGTTATAAGAGTAGTCTCAGGATTTGGTCTAGATAAATATGATGGTTGCTACATCCCTATCTGGTCAGTGTACTCTTCTTCCTGACCTTGTTGTAGTTTATGCTGCTGCTAAATTTTGACGTGAATTATTGTTTATTGCAGGTAGTTTGAATGGTGCTTGCTCTGCTGAAGGTTTATACGGTTTTATACGGTTAGATTCTGATGAATCAGTTGACCGTTGTTGCAATACACTCGAAACACCAGCTGATGATGAATGTGATGTTTGACAGGTAACCGAATAATCGCAAACAGGATCAGAAACTCCTGATGTCACTGGTGCTGATAAACGTCCCGTCGGATATATCATCAAGAGGGGATATCCAACAGCTGACAGAAATGAAGGCGATAAAAGAGAAGTCTGGGGTATTGACCCACGGAGTGGAATAGGAATCAGGTAAGGCACTTTGTTAAGATTCCCCAGGGCCGAACGACCATGAGTTGTCATGCGACCCAAGTTTGCAGCCTGAGTGATGTTGTAGTGGCATTGGACAATAGCCACACAATCCACAAAGCTGTGAACACGAGACTACTCAGAAAATAGATATTCAATATTTAACGCGGAGAAATACCTAAAAATGGAGAAGGCGCGAACATGAATTGAATGGACTGGAGTTGATCGAGTGGCATGGCTCGGCCATGCAGGCGTGGTCTCTATTCATATTAAATATATTGTTCCTTCTCTAACCTAAGCTGGTTCTTTATCATGTATTGGTAATTGATACGATACAGTGAGTTGGCGTAGTCGATGGTGTGACTTCCACGTAAGATCTTAAAGATTAGGCAGTTATATCATGACGAATCTACAAATTTAGGATTAGGTCTATTATTAGAGCAGTACTAATATCGTAGTAGACTATAATTCTACATTGGTGAGCCCAACTAAAGAAACGCAACCTAATATTATTAATCCTTATTTCCACTTCAACTTTCTCGATCGATTTTATATTTATGTTAACCCTGTATTCCAATAGTCCTCTGATTAATGCTCACATGCATTATCGTAATGTTATATTGATTAGTCCTCATGACAAACTAGCTCAATCGATAATAAAAACTGGTCGTCTATATTAACTAATTAGCTTTGATGATTTGTTAACAAGCTGTAATAGCATTTACATGCTTCAGCGACATAGTCTTGTTTAAACATCAAGCTCTAGCAAATATGACCTGTAAATAGCGTAAATATACATTGACTAACAATGCGATCAAGGACTAAATAGTTATCTGGATCTAATATTCAGTGTTCCTTATCTTATTACCTCATCCTGTTTTAAACTATACACTATCCTGTAATATCTTTTCTCCCGACCACTGCCTGCCTAATTTCATATTCTCGAGTTCCATTGCCAAACAACGAAGATGAC